CAAGTATGCTTCTGGATGCCTTCCCCCAAAAAGGGGTAGTTGTCCATCAAGGGCAGCCCACCCCATAACACGGAAACCTCACTCCGGGTGTCTGAAAAGACGTGTTCCTTTCAAGGACCTTCTGGCGAGTTTCACGTTTTGGCGAGGCATGTCGAAGAAGAAAAAAAAGAAACGGTTCGACGCGTGTCAAGGGGATTGTTGTTCGGCAAGTAGAGCTATCTTTTTTCGGCAAGTCCCTCTCGCTCTACTTGTCTTTTGATTGATCCAAATGGGTGCTGTCTGGAATCGGGCCCCGTTTGTTAGAACACCTGCGGGCCCCCTGAACTTCCACTCAAAGCAGCTTCTGCAAGGGGAGGGTTCCCTCAACTCATCTCCAGTCCGCGCGAAGGGGGAAATGAAACTAGAAAATGGAGATCTCCAGACCTCACCCTTCCATTTCATCCTTAGTGGGAAAAAGACAAGAACACCTGGCCATCCTCTTTCTGCTTCCCTTTCTTGGTACCCTCCCGTCCACTAACATGGAACTTGATGTTTCGGGGTCCTTGAAAATGGTGGGTTCCATGTCAATGGCCAGGAAGGGAACCTAAAACTCACTGCCTGAGTGGATTGCCCATACAAAGTCTGAACTTGCTCATCTACCGCTAAAATGGTCTTCCCCCCAAGAAGCCTTTACAGTCCGAAGCGGAACTCAGGAGGTGAGGTGAACCAAAAATCCACGACCCCCCCCCCGCACCCCCCCCGTCATCCCCCGTCTCCCGCCTCCACGGGCCTTGGGGTGCCGGTGGCCAAGCAGCTCAGCAGCAGCGCGGCGCAGGCGCACAGCACCGGGGGCCGGCCCGTGCCATAGAGCGCCTTGGGGAGGCACGGCCTTTTCTTATGGGGTTTCCGCGGGCCCGACAAGGGTCTGCTATCTTTATGAGGGAAATCCCTGTCAGATGGAAATTTAAAGGGAAACCAACAGGAAGACCGTCATTTTTTTTTTTTGGGGGGGGGAGGTGAAAACAAACACAGATTTCCAGCCACAACCACGACCAAGGGAAACACGGGGAAAAGGCTATTTTAAGCATGCAATCGCGGACTGTGCCAATCTGAGACCCATCTTACAAGAATTGCAAATGGCAACATACAACGGAGCAAACTCCCATTGTGACAAACTCCACATCAAGCAATAGATAGTGCTTGACCCCCAACAACGGCCACGACCCTCAAAATGAGCTGACCTCACACACCACACATAGGCAGGACCTTACCGTTTGGCATTGCAACTTGTTTCCAATGCTCGAGGCCCAACTGGCTTCCCACGCCGCCTCTATGGCTCGGGATTGGAATTAGGCTGGCGATTTGCCTCTAAGGACATGACTACTTTCGGGGGGTTCCCACAAGCTTGCATGCTCAGTCCCACAAGGACCAAAGATTGGACCAAGGAAACACGGGATTCGGGGGGTTCCTCTTCCGGATGAACCTTTGAAAGATGTTCACATTCCACCGCCTCCGGCTCGTAGACGATGCACATCTCCAGCAGGAACTTGGCCAGGTTGCTGCAGCGCTTCGAGGCGTCGTCCTCTTGGCTTTTGTGTTGCTTTTTCCCGGGCGCCAGGCGTGTCAGCGAGTGATTCCGGCAGATAGGAAAGGATTTACTCATGCCACGTCCGGTACATCCAAAACCATGCCTGAGGATTCGGATGCCCTAAATCAGCTGGCAAAGGTCCTAAGGTGATCGCTTGACTGGGCCTCATGATTTTAAGGGCGTCCGAGTCCTGCTGAAACGGTCTGCTTCCGCTTTCGGAGCCAGCCCTATCGAGCTTGGCGGCTTATGACATCATCGATTTCACAATGGGACACTTTCTGTGCCCGGGGGCCACCATCCAATTTTTTCTCTCACCAGCCCGCGCGAAAGACACATTCAGCATTCTGACATGCGGAATCAATCAGGAAGTCTCGGTCCGCGTGCTAAAGAAAGAAAACAAAAAACAAACCAATTGAGTCATACTCAAACAATATAAACGTATAGGTATTCAAGAGTCTCTCTGTTTCTGTTCAAGAGCTGGGACTCTAAACTGAAGCTTTCACTGCTTAATTCGGGTCCATTGCTTTTGGATTCCCGAAACGAACCGCAACCCCCCAAAAACACGGGGCCCCTCAAGACGCAACTCCTCACTTCCTGAAAGTCCTTATTTACCACTAAGATGGTCGACAACCCCCAAAAATGACTAAACTGCAAATTGGAACCCCAACAAGTGACCAAACTCTAAATGGGAACCCCCAAAAGTGACTAAACTCCGAATTGGAACCCAAAAAAGTGACTAAACTCCGAATGTCAACCCCAACAAGTGCCCACCCTCCGAATTTTAGCCTTAAAAAGAGACGACCTCAGCACCCCAGGACCTCAAAGCCATGCCGGTTCCGCCTCCAGCAGGTCGCCCAGCAGCCGGCACAGCAAGTCATAGGCCGTGGGCGTACACGCGCGGAAGCTCAGCTTCCGCAGGATGTTCAGCTCCGCCTCACAGGAACATGGGAGCCACCAACCAAATGGGACAAAGAACCGGGCGAAATGGGCGCCACGAAATTGGTGAAACGAAAGAATGCCTTCGGGAGGCATGTGTAAACATTGGAGCCAAACACTTGCTGCATCTTGCTGCTGTATGAGCCAGGATAACATTTCATGGAACCCTTAACAACAAACCGCTCCAGAGAGTACGACGGCAACCAGCGTCGGTCGATTTATTTTCACCGCACTGCCTCAAGTGGGTGGGATCGTACCTGTTGGTCGATCTGTTTCAATCTCTGGAGTCGGTGTGCGTGTCTCTCAGACACCACTGACTCGAAAGTAAAGTACAACAAAATAAAAGGTAAGCAAATGCAAGTGCATGCAAACCCAAAATGTTGTACAGCAGAGTTTCGAAGAGGGAGTGGACGTTCTCCCGTCCTCTCACTCGATGCTATAAATGCAGACCGACAGGTACTGAGGGCATGCAGTGAAAACTGGTGAGGGTGGGTGGGAAAGAAAAATTTGGCTAATTCGCCAAAATGGCGAACGGAGCATGAATCAAGCAGTGTCATCCTGCAGGCACTCAAGGTTCGAATCTGAGTGTGATTCAAATGCCTTCCGCTATCGGTTGTTACTTTTAACACAAGTGTTAACCGCAACAACAAACCGCTCCAGAGAGTACGACGGCAACCAGCGTCGGTCGATTTATTTTCACCGCACTGCCTCAAGTGGGTGGGATCGTACCTGTTGGTCGATCTGTTTCAATCTCTGGAGTCGGTGTGCGTGTCTCTCAGACACCACTGACTCGAAAGTAAAGTACAACAAAATAAAAGGTAAGCAAATGCAAGTGCATGCAAACCCAAAATGTTGTACAGCAGAGTTTCGAAGAGGGAGTGGACGTTCTCCCGTCGTAGGTCAACTCCCGTCGAAGGTGAAGCCGAAGGCGAACGACCTAGACAAAAGGCACGTTGAAGGCATCCTTACATCGATCAAGTCTCCTTACTGTGGACAAGATTCTCACGGGACGTGGAAGTCAAGTCGGGTTCAGGAGGAATGATTCCTGTGGAACTGTTGGAGTTCCTTTATGTCGTCAAATCCGACGGCATGGGCGAACTCAATATCGCCAATGATTTTGCACGTCCGTTTATGTAGAGCGTGCATGGGGGGTTCCAGAATCTGCCAGTGGTGCTTCGAGGCAAGGGACATGTCATGTCGACTGAAGGGGTCGGCTATATTAGCATGTGTGGGCACACGGGCAATATGCAACTGCAATTGCTGTCGGTTGTGCCATGTCCAATGTGCACCGAGCAGGCAGTTTAGTGGTTGGTGTTTCCCAACTCCCCGTCTGATGGCGTGTTTGGCCGCTTCGTTGTCGCACAACTGGAGGTATGTGTCAGTGATCCATGGTCGAAAGATCACAGGAGCGATCAACGCGGCCCATGCCTCGAGGAAATAAATGGCGTTGGTGCCAGTACTCACTTGTTGGAGTAAGTTAGGGGGTAGTGCGCCCGAGACCACGCGGGTCCTTTGTGCCTGTGGGCTGAACAGCACCGCTGCCCATCCGTTGTCGTGCGACCAATCGGGTGGCAGACAATCCTGATCCCCTGCGTCCTTGACACGCCAGACCGTCTCGCCCTGCCGGCAGAACGCGTCGGTGTATATGATTGAAAGGTCTCTGGGCCTGGTGGACAGTGGGACGCTGCGGGGTGAGCTATGTTGCAGGATATTCAGGAGGCACAGAATGGCAGCTCGAGTTGGTTTGTCGATCCGGTCGGAAGTGCTGTGTGCTTTGTGGTATAGGGCGGCTAACGCCGATCGCCCTACTCGACCGAACAGGTGTCCGGTGACAAAGTTGCACTTGCCGGCAGTGCGTCGGGCGGTGTCGTTCGACATACCTCCCTGTTCGAGACACTGAGACAGGGTGTGTGACAGTGTACGGACTCGGTCTGGGCACGGTCGAAGGGTTGCGTGTGTTGCCGACAGGTCGACATAAACCCCTTGTATTTTGTGAGAGGGCGCCGGTGGTTGTTCCTTGGATGTCTTCATATGAAATCCAAGTAGTGAGTTGAGCTTGCTGAATGAGGAGAAGGAACTGGTCGCGATGTGACTGGGTTGTATGGCCCCGTAGTCGTCAACGTAGTGCAGGGCAGGTGTGAGTGTTAGTACGCGGGCGAGTGCTGTGAGTGCATCGCCGAAGCGGTTGTAGCCCCAGACGCTGGCAGCGGAGCCGAACAGGAGCACGTGGTGGTGCCAGAGAGTTGGGCCGTCGGGTGTGATGAGTAGCACGTATGCTACCTCCGGTTGTGCGAGGGGCAGTTGACGGTAGGCGCCGTCGTGGTCGTGTCCCCACACATGTAGCGGGTGTGCGTCGTCGTGATATTGTCTCGCACATTGGATGTAGTGGTCGGGTGTGTGATGGTAGGGTTGATCGTGCATAGAGCACGTCTGGTTGTGGCCGCTGCGGCGCCAGTCTTCTCCTCTCCGGACTTTGGGTTTTCCGTCCGATCCGGTCTGTTGTATGCTGAATGCGACTGCCACAATGGGATCGCGATGTGGGATAGGAAGGAGCCGGCTGGTGTGGGGGAAAAGGTGCAGGGGTACTGTGCGAGAGGTCCAATGAGTCGGTGCCTCGAAGGGGCCGGCCATACGTCCTTGGGCCACTTCCCCCGCGATTTCGGTGGCCATAAGAGTCCAGTGGTCGTCGATCTTGTGTTGTTGTAATTTGCGCTGGATGTAGGCTTTGTTGAATGACCTGAGTTCTGCAAGGTCACATGGGTCCAGGTATTTGTGGTCGTGGCGAATGTGCCAATTGACTCCGGGTCGCAGAGGCCCCAGGAGGTCGAAGCCTAGAGAGAGTTCCTCGTGCAGGAGTTGTGCCTGTGGGTAGTTAAGCAAATGTAGCAAGTGTGTCATGAGTGGTACCTGAGTGATCATCTTCGGTTGTCGATAGGCTCGCTGGCAGTGTGGGGGCAGCTGTTCGAACCATGCAAGTGTATCTGTAGTCATCGCGAAGGTCCGCGATGTCGAGTAACACGTTGTGCTGTAGTTGTGGCAGTTGTGGTATGGTCCTTTGCATTGCGATGGCCCACAAAATGGTCGGGTCGCAGTGCTGGGGCTGTTGCAGCGAGGTAGCGTGGTGTTTGGCCCAGGTCAAGTGGTCCTGCCAGTCGTTCTGTGGCATATGTAGCGTTTCCGATGCTCTCGGAGGTGGTCCCCATGGTCGTGGGTTGTGAAGCCAGAGGTCGACCATCATTCCGAGGGATCCGCGACGTACCCGCTGCGTGGGCGGGGGAAATTCCGAAGGCTGGCTGTAGTAGCAAAAGGAATAGGATCCACATGGCTGTGGGCACATGCCAGGAGTTCCCCAGCATGGTGTTCCTGGTCCGGTCGGTGTTGTGTGGTCCCGTCCAGCCGCGCGGGAATCCCATCATTGCTTCGCGGTGCTCGGGTGTTGCGACTTGCCAGTCGTGTCCGTGTTTCCGGACCAGGTATTTCTGTTGGTATTGCCACGGGGCGAATTGTTTGTGGTCGGCTTGCCACCGTTGCCATGTGTCGTCTGGTAGTTGTTGGCTGCGTGGTGGTGGGCGGCCTTCGTCCGTACTGGCCTGGGTGGTAAGGCAGTGGAAGAGTTGTCCGTGTGTTAGGACACTCGGCGGGTCGAAGTCCCGGATGTGACAGTCTGGTTGTAGTTCGGCTGCAATGGGATTGAAGAGCACCGGTGGGAACAGCTGAGTGTCGATGGAGAGTTGCCAAGGTGTATGCCTGCTCAATGTGGCAGGCAAGGATTCCCAATCGACCGAGGCCCACCAGATTCTGGGACGAGAGATGATTTGGCCGTCGGCCGCGTCGATCAGGACTGGGCGTAGGCCCATGGAGTGGGACAGCTGGTCGAAGTCGTCGCGTACCTCGGGGTGAGGCACGACATTCTCTAGCAGGGTGAGCGATTGATGTGGCCATCTGTTCTGAATGTCGTCGCGGATGGAGAGTGCGGTGTCGAAGAGGCTGCCCTGTGAGCCGGCCCGGCCCGGTTGGTGTTGTTTAATGTTGGAGTAGTCCTTGCACGGTGGGCCACCGGTGAAGAGGATAATGTGTCTCTCGTGATTGGGTATGTCCTGGATGATCGCAGCCAGTTGTTCGATGTCAAAATCTTCTACGGCGCCCATGTGCGTCGTGGGGAAGAGTGAATGAGGTAGCTGATTGCAGGACTGATCGGTTTCCCACCGGAAACAGTGGGAGACGTTGGCGCCCAGTTGGTGCAGGGCAAGTGACACTGTGCCGATCCCGTCGAAAACTGAGATCAGGATAATGGGCTTGTGTTGTATGAGTTGTCTGGTAAGATGGAGGCAACGCGCCGGGTCGGCTCCAGGGGACTGGTCCCCTGGGCCGTGCTGTCCCTAACGCGCCTTGTTTTTCCCGTGGGATTTGGTGCCTTTCTTGCCTTTCCCGGACCCCTTCTTTCCTTTGGGTGTGTCGCCCTTGAACGAGGGTCCTGGGGTTGTAGGCATCGAGGGGATGGCGGGGTTGGCGAATTGGGTTGGTCCCCAGGTCGCGTATGGCTGGTTGTTGTATGGGTACGAAGTGGTCTGGTACCCTTTGTTGCCCCAGGTGTGCTTGCCTCTGCCCTTGGGTTGCCGATACTGGTTACTGTTGTTCTGTGGACGTCGGGTCTCTGTCCGTGGTTGTTTCTTGGCTGGTTGCGAAAGGATGTCGTTCATCGTGGTCGTGTCGGCCAGTAGTTCCTTGGTAGCTTTGCTGAAGGTGGCCCCCGACCGCATCTTCATGGCCAGTTGCCATGTGAAGGTTTCCCAGGAGTCTTTGACTTGGAGCAAGCGCTGCTGGTGTTGACGGGTGATGCGGCAGAATTTGTCAATGAATTCGTTGATGTCGGTTTCGTCCCCGATCTGGATGAAGGTCCATGCCCATCGAATGGCCTCCAACCCGTCGAGAATCATCATCAGGTTCTGTGGGTCCCAGTCTCTGGGCGTGGTTTCGACCAGCGTGTTGTTGGAATC